TATGGAAATCAAATAAACTCTTGAATCTTGATTGAAAATATAAATTTCCACTTGAATGGTTTGAATAATACTGCTCACTTTGTAACTTAAAATTTAAGAAATCAAACATGACCTTAGTAACTTATATCTCAAGTAACCATGCGCCTTGTCTTTCAATTCTTAATCTTTATATCATGTCCAAACCCAACTTGTACTCTCAATGAAAACCGTAACTTTGATGTTCAAACCACAAGTAACTTGTAACTGAAGCCACAAAACATGCCTTGATCATCATGAACCTTCAACCTTATTTCTCATGCCCAAATTCGACATTCGTCAACTTAAACTTTAAACTCTCGACTCGGTGACTTAGAGATCTTAAGAAGAAAACTTGAAGTGCGAGAGATGAAATCCCTAACCAAATGTATTGACCTTGAGCTATCCTTGAGGCGGGAGAAAGAAACATCTTCACAAAAAACCATGGATCCAAAACCCTAGCATCTTGCCAAACAATAAGGAAATAAACCCTTTTTCAGGCTCTGATGAATTCGAGTGAGGAACAACCTTGTAACTTGACGAGAAAGAAATCCATGACAACTCGGAACTTCATTCCATGATCCACCGTTCAAGACCCAGATGAACTTGTCCTTAACCTGATGAGAGAACTTCAAAACAAAATTACATAAATAGGGCACAACCCTAATACCTCAAACCAAGGCGCTTGATTCCATGAGATGCGGGATATGAAAACGACTTAGTAAAAATGATGCAAATGGGATGTAAAGTTCAAAGCCAGACAAAAGTAAAAAAAGGTAGGGGAAATTTATGGTACAAAAATATGTGATTGTGTAAAGTGACATGTATATGTGTATATGTATGTCATGAATTGGTGAAATATGAATAACATGTGTTAGTGTTGTTGGTAAATGCTATTCGTGATATGTGTAACTGGTGAATGCTAAATAATTGCATTGTTGGTAATGATAACATGATAAATGTATGTTTTGTACAATGGTGGGATAATTCATTTTGATGGATTATTGTGATATGCGGTATGATTAAGGTTTGATGATAATCTTAATTTGCATATATTAGGTCATGTTTGCACATGCATACATGGGGAGATTGAACTCCGGTTGATTACTTTGGTCCTTATGTGGAAATAGAAGCAGTTGACTATATGTTCATAATGATGGTTGTTTTGATCCTTGTGTGGAAATAGAAGCGGTGGACTTTATGTACATAATGATGGTTGCTTTGATCCTTGTGTGGAAATAGAAGCGGTGGACTATATGTTCAAAATGATGGGCTTTGACCTTGTCTGGATCGGAGCGTGACTATGATTCTAGATATGGAACCGAGAGCGAGGTGAACTTGATGTTCACAATGGTACCACATGCATGAGTCGCATTGAGTTGCATTGAAGTCACATTTGTTGTCATGTGATGTTCTTCTTTGATGCGTAATATATGTGATAATTGGTTTGATCGTTACATTAGTGATGTTTGTAATATATGTGATAATTGAATTAATTGTTACATTGATGTTACTTTGGTGGAAATTGTGCTATATGTGATGATTGTATGAATGGTTCTACTTGGTATACTTGTAATGTTTGGATATAATTGTTTTGGTACTTGGAACGGTAAATCCATGTTGTATAGATAATTATATGAAGTGTGATGAAATCCTTAGATGTATGTGTGTTATATATATTGTTTATATTATATATTTTAGAATGATGTGAATTCCCATCCTTTGTTGAAATGATGTTTTATACGACATCGCTCAGGTACCGAAGATAGTGGTGTTTCGCACGAGGATAGTTGAGGAGTAGCTTGGTTTATCAGCTTTCTTAGGTAGTGAGTCAATGCTCTGGTCATGTAACACGAGAGGTATTTGAACTCGTGTTTGTTGTGAAAAGATATTGTTATATTCTCATATTTGGTTTTTATTTTGAGATAATATATTGAATAGCCTTAGTGCCCAATATTTTGGATTCATATGACTTGTTATGTTATGAATAGATTGTTTTGTTGGCTTATGATTATAGTATGGGATATAATCATTATTGTTATTATCATTTGAGTAAAGAATTATTCTACTGTGATGTGTATAGTTTTGTAGAAACTTGAAGTTTGAATATGTGTTATATATTATGACCAGGTGTATGTTAATATTGTGTGTTAGTTTTCTATATTTTGGAAAACGACACGTGATGCCCTTTTGGTGTTATGCATGCTATATTACTCTAATTTATGCAATATTTTGCTTGGGATTAGAAAGGGGTGTTACATAGATCGTCTAAATTGGTATGATCGTTCCAACTCTCCTTTAATATTTTTGTTGTATACATGTTTGTAATTATTTCCTTGCTTAAGTATATATTTTGTTTGAAATGTGTGCATGCGATATATTTGTGCATTTCATGTTTTGATCATTCGATTATCTCATGCATCGATCTAATTTTATTTCATTCTTTTATAGTATACATTCACATTATTCATTCATTCATGCATCATCACTTAACTCTAGGTTTAAAGTTTATTTTAGCATTCACATCAAAGTTATTTTCAATTAAATCATGATTCAAAATTTTGCATTTCATTAAAGTCACTTTTTCATGCATTAAAATTTTAAAAAAAAACATGCTTTATGATTTGAATTACAAGATTTCAAAAAATTTGAGTTTGGCGTTATGAAGATTGATTTGAGTCACGGGTATAACGTGACTCGAATCACAATCCATTTATTTGAAAAAATTTAAACGCATGTTTTGAATCACAATTACAACATGATTCGAATCATGAAATCAAAAATCTCGCATTTGTAACCGTTTCAGCATTACTTTTTCTCTTCCACTCATTTCTTTTCTTATTTTTAAACTTCCCTCCTCTCATTAAACCTAAATTTGAAAGTCATCCATCATTAATCATCTTATCTCATTCATCCATTTTTCATCATCACATCCCATAAAAACTCATTTCTCTAACCTTCGTCACAATGAATTAAAGTCTTCCACAAAAGAAATTATCTAAGAAGCAAAAGGGTAAGAGGCGAGTATCATCTTCAAGTTCAAAAATCCCTCATAATATTAATTAAACTTGTGCTTTTGATTTGACAAAGTAATCACTCTTTATTAAACTTGATTCTATTTTAATTTTAATTTTTATATTATTTTAATAATAATAAAAAAATAAAAAAATGACAGAAGATTCTTGTCTATTATATCCGCAAGACTCTTTCTTGTAAAGATGCTCACAATGCGATTTTGAAAACTGATTTGAATTACATATAAAACTATTTATGACTCAATTTAGTTTAATTTTAAATAATTAATTTAAAATTTTGATTTAATTTAGGTAAAAAACTTTGTTCAGAAAGGGTTTCTCCACAAGCTTTCATCTCATTAGTGATCAGAATCACTCTAGAGATATACTCAGAAACCTTCTCATTGTCCTTCATGTTGAGATTCTCATATTGCTTTCCGAGAGACTGCAGCTTCACCTTCTTCACTGACGCGCCACCACCGTAATATCTGACCAGTGTGTCCCGTGCAACCTTCGCTGTTTCAGAATCATCAATCTTCTCAAACACATTAGCATCCACACATTGATGGATGCAGAACAACGACTTCTGATCTTTCTTCCTCAGCGCCTTCTGTGCTATCTTCTACGCATCTGTTACGTTTGCTTCTAATAGATTATAGCCACCGGTGACAAGATCTAACACATCTTGAGAACTAAATAACACGCAGATCTGGATCTTCCAACGATTCCAGTTTTTACCATCAAATACTGGAAGCTTGGAATGGATATCGCCACTGTTTCCGTTCATCTTCTACCTTGTGCAATTTACACAGAAACTTAATGAAAACAATGTTTCCCAAATCCCATAATTTCTATTAACGAAACAATGTTTCCCATATTCTAGAGTTTCTAACCAGGAGCTCTAGATACCAATTGTTGGCGCACAAGGAAGAGATAAAAGGAAAAAGAAATATTAAAAGACGACTACAAAAAATAAGGATTTACAATGAATTATAATAACCTATTCCACTAGGCTATTTATATACAAAATTATATCTTCTAACAAAGATATAAAAAGATATAATAATATCCCCTAAAAAGATATTCCTAAATATAAATCAATATCTAAAATATAAATTAAATCCAACAGTAAATAGGGGAGAAAGGGAAGCGACGATGGTTTTGGGGTTAGAAGGAAAAAGAGAGAGAAGAGAAAAGATGGGAGAAAAAGAAAGAAGAGAGAAAAGAAGAGTCTGGAACATGTTTAATATGGGGAGAGAAATATTAATTGGAGAAATTGTTTTTAATTGAAATCAATGATAATAAATAAACAGGTGTGAGACGCGGTGAGAAGTTGAAAAAGTTAAGGGTTAATTTGTTAATTATATATATGTCCAAATTGTAGTGCAAAATATTTTTGATGAGAATGTAGTTTTGTTACTTAGGTCAATTCATTAGTAAATGTTACTCCCCTTCTTTTTAAAATGAATGTCGTTTTAACAAATAAATTTTGTTTTAAAATAATTTTTCTTTTTCACTTTTCAATATAATAATGATTACTATTTTTTCAATTGTGTTCTTTAGTTTTTACTCTCTATACTATTTTTAATATATTAATAGAATTAATTTTGTAAAAGTGTAATGTCCTTCGACAATTTCATTGTATTTCTTAATTTATTTGAAAAAACTTAAAAAATTTTTTTTTAAAAATAAATGAAGTAGATAGTAGGAGGTCACAACAGCGAAAACAAAACCATATATAGCAAAAGATAGCAGCCATTGCAAAAAAAACCCAACGAATTACCCATATTACCCTTTCATCAACCCATTCCGATTCCCCCACCCCTGGCTTTTCAGTCAATCCAAAAGCTACATGCATTTCACCAACTTTTCCACCAACTCCAAAAAAATATTATAAATGAAATCAACCAAACCATAACTTAAAATAAAAGCAGCTTTTATTCATTTCACAATAGTTGCAAACAATTTTCAATGGCTTCTTCACTTTCACTGTCGAAGGTTATAACGCCAAACGCACAAAAAAGCGCTTATTCACCAGAATCGCTTCGGTCCAGATCCATCAAAACAAACTTCCTCGCTTTCGATCCTTCATCAACTACGAAATTCAGAACTAATTCTCTTCGAATTCATCACGAAAGCCCTTTCAAAGCGTCTTTTAGGTTAGAAGAATAATCGATTTTCATGGATCACGATTCGTGATCATTTTTATTACATGCAGTGTTTTTTCATTATTTTCACGCTTATTTTATTTGCTTATTTAATTAATTTTGTGATGTGTTGTGAGAAGCGTTGACGTTGATTTTTTTGAATTGCAATCGTGATTGTGAATCGTTATTATCGATGGATCTTGTTGTTAGGACGTGTTTGGTTAGTTTTTTTAATTTATTTTTTATGATTTGAGTAGTGGAAAGTTTGTAGGTTAAATAGTACTGCATCTTTGATTTTCATGGAAGAGTGAGAATGAAATATGTTTTTATTTTATTTTATTTTATTTATTCAGATTTTTGTTGTAATTAAAAGTAATCTGAGTTTCAAATATTCGCATGAAGTTTTCTTTTTAATTGACTTTAGTTTTAAGCTTGTGAGAATAATGATTCATCGTTGTAAGGCAGTATTTGGTTTATAGAAGTAACAGCTGCGTAAAGGGTTTTTGCAATTTTGGTCAATACAGGTGTTTGATTGCAGTTGTTGCAGTGTGAGCTAACCACAATTTGATCTTTAACTTAAAAATGATAAATAATCGGCACCTGTCAATATCGTTTTGTCGCGACCTTTTTAGCGGCCGTGGACTGTTTTTTAAAACCTTGGTTTATAGTTTGTTTGTACTGGGGCTGAGTTTGACAAAATTCCATTGATGAGACTGTGATTTTGTTGAAGCTCTAAAGTGTAGTTTTTGCATTAATCATGGTTGTACACGGAGTTAAAGTCATCCATGGTCAATCCAATGTGCACTAAGTGTATGTTTGGTTTCACGTTGAGGCACCCAAAATTGATTCTGGATGTATTGAATTGATTTTGACATGTTTGGTTGCTTTTGAGTAGAATTGATTATGCTTTTTCAGAATTGATTCTACTTGAAGTTATGATTTTGACATGTTTGGTGGTTGCTCTCGAATAGAATTGACTATGCTTTTCAGAATTGATTCTACTTCAACTTATGATTTTGACATGTTTGGCTATTTTCGAATAGAATTGATTATGGTTTTTAGAATTGATTCTACTTGAAGTTATGATTTGTAGTTTTTGAGTCTAAATGAGATTTTTAAACTGATATACCCACTTTTGCATAATTGCATAAATTTATCCCAAAACATAAATCACTTTACCTTCAACTCACTTTTAGTCAGAATCAATTCACTCAAAATCATTTTTTTTACTGCAGAACCGAACTGTATGTTTGGATTGGCCGTGAGTTTGGAAAAATACCGTCGACCCTCCAAAATGTAGTATTTGCCAAAATTATGTTGCTCACTGCGATTATGCCAATGTCGAGTTTATAATGACCCTAATTAATGTTGGTTAAAAAATATAAAGAATTGTAAGTTTGTGTTTATATTATCGATGTGATGAACCCCAAAATTGTAACTTATAGTAAGAGAACTCTTGTTGACTTGAAGAATATGAGACTTTGTATTTGTTTTTCAAACAATATTTATATGGAAGCAAACCTTTGACTGTTGGTTGTGTCCTTGCAGGGTTAGATGCTCACAGACAGATGGAAATGGAGTTCCTGCTAAGAGGACTGTGCTTCATGATCTTTATGAGAAACAAGGGCAGAGTCCATGGTATGATAACCTCTGCCGACCAGTTACGGATCTGATTCCTCTTATTGAAAGTGGTGTCAGAGGCGTCACAAGTAACCCAGCGGTAATAAATAATAATAATATGATGTTATTTTTAATTATAATTCTTGCGTTTCCTAGTGAGCAAAAAGAGACTTATGGTTGTTTTGTGCCATTCGACCTGTGTGAATACAGGATTAACAATGCATGTTGCACACTTTTTAAGTGTTGTAACTTATTTCTTTTTATATAATATCGGATGTCATTGCACTGATATGCTGTATTTACATGATTGCAGATCTTCCAGAAAGCTATCTCATCTTCAAATGCTTACAATGATCAGTTCAGGTACTAGCAATATTTTTTACTAATACCAAAAGTGTTTCTTTCAAATTTGAACAGCAACGTAATGAACAGTAGGGTAGACCGTCGAGGCATAGTCATGGCTCATATTGTCTGTCTATAATCGGCATAATCATTGTATTACTTAGTTTTGCTTGTCATTTCATAAAGTATATTAAGCTTGGTAAACTACACAGATGTCAATGCTGTCAATCGTGGATCGCGGAGAATAGCGTTTTGTTCAAATTCCACTATAGAGCCGCTAATTGATAACATTGACAAAGAAGATGCTCTTCGGTTTCTATGTTTTTTACAGGAGCAGAAGGTCTTCACTTCCTTAAGTATATTGTTTTGTCTGCTCCCGAGCTTATAATATTTCCCCGAAAGTTTAATGGATACAGTCATTACAGCGGAAAATGTACTTAACAAATGAAAAATGTGTATCTTTTTCAATTTTGTAAATGTGCTGTTCTTTGTGATGCGGCCTAAAATTTCACTATAGCTTTAGTTGTTGTGTTTCCTGGTCTTGTCGCTAAAGACAAATTACTTTATCACGCAGGGAACTTGTGCAAGCTGGGAAAGACATTGAAAGTGCTTATTGGGAACTTGTAGTTAAGGACATTCAAGATGCTTCCAAACTATTTGAACAAATTTACGATCAAACAGATGGTGGTGATGGCTATGTTTCTGTTGAAGTATCTCCTAGTCTTGCTGATGATACTCAAGGAACCATAGAAGCTGCAAAGTGGCTTCATAAATTTGTTTCTCGCCCTAATGTTTATATTAAGATTCCAGCTACAGCTGCTTGTGTCCCTTCAATAAAGGAAGTGATTGCCAATGGAATAAGTGTGAATGTGACTGTAAGTTTGTGCGACATTCTTTCACGTGGTTTGCAAATTAAATAATTGAATATCATATTATGTTGTTAGGATGTTTCAGGTTGGGATGTTGGCTACTTGATAACTAATCCTAGATATTATCACACAATAGTAATGGCTAGTGGTTAGATCATGCTGGTTAGAAGTGAGGGATATGAGTCATTGACATAGACACGACACTGATACTGATCATAGACACCGATAATAATTAAAAAAAATGGAAGTGATTGAATGTAACCACATTGTGTCGGTGTCGTGTCGACTTTGGACACCACATTGAACCTGCCTTTAGTCAGAAGTATTAATGCTATATAATTCTAGTAGGACAACGAGAAGTTCATTGTCTCGAACATTTATTGATGAGTTTTTGATCTCTTTTACCATGTTTCCGAAAGTCTAATTATGTGTTTGTGGTACTTGTGTCTGCAGTTGATATTCTCTCTTGAAAGATATGAAGCTGTAATTGATGCTTACTTGGACGGTCTTGAGGCATCTGGTTTAAATGACCTCTCTAGAGTCACAAGTGTTGCCTCTTTCTTTGTCAGTCGAGTGGACACTCTCATTGACAAAAGCCTCGAGAAAATTGGCACTCCTGAGGCCCTTAATCTACGTGGAAAGGTAACAGAATATCATTTTCCAAATTGACAACTTTTGAAGTTTTTGGATTTATTAAGCCCCTGGATATCAAGTATGCTCACGTTGTATTGTATGTCATGACACTGAATTTTATAGGCAGCAGTAGCCCAAGCAGCACTGGCTTACCAGCTTTACCAAAGGAAATTTTCTGGTCCAAGGTGGGAAGCTCTAGTTAAAAAGGGAGCCAAGAAGCAAAGACTCCTTTGGGCTTCTACCAGTGTTAAGAATCCTGCTTACTCTGACACCTTATATGTAGCTCCTCTTATTGGACCCGACACCGTAAGTCATCCCATTTTTTCTCATGTCCATTTGCTTATAGTTTAGTTATCTTGGAGTTAATGTATCCTAACCTTGAACTTATTTAATAACGTTACCTTCGTAATTACTTCCCAGGTATCTACCATGCCAGACCAAGCTCTTCTAGCATTTATCGATCACGGTGCAGTAGCCAGGACAATAGACTCAAATGCATCTGAAGCTGAAGGCATATACAATGCTATCCAGAAGTTGGGTATTGATTGGAGCAATGTCGGTAACCAGCTTGAACTCGAAGGAGTTGATTCATTTAAGAAAGCCTTTGATAGCCTTCTGGATACACTTCAGGAGAAGGCAAAATCTCTTAAGTTGGTCAATAAGTGAAGTGTGAACTTTTATGGTTATAATTGCTCTGTAATGTATGATGCCATTTGAGGATTAATAAGAGACATGTGCGCTGCTGTAATGTTTTTCATGGGATCATTGGTGATACATTATAAGTTGAGATTCTCAGAATTCTAGGTTGAGTTTTTTATTTCTTTCTATGTACCATGTATGCGGTTTTTTTAGGGGAAATGGAAATAGATTCCTGTGCAATAACTGCTGCGCCATGCAATTTGCAATTTGTGTGTTAAATCTAAATCAAAGATTGTGATTGTTTAAACTGACTTTGTTATTGTGTAATATGCAATTTTCAATTTTGATTATTAAATTTAAATCAATATATTGCGATTGCTTAACTGATTTTGTTATAGGGTAATATGTGATAGGAGTCACAATTTTAATATTGTATTACAGTAATTAATGGTTGAGATTGTCCATTATTGGGTGCTGGCCCTACTATCCGCAATTCATGGTGCTACCATTTAAATTTCTTATTTTTAAGATGATGATGCCGCAAATACATTTTGTGCGTTTAACAATCCATAAGTTCTTGATCAAACCCGAAATCTGTTTCGCCTTCTCACAAAGTCAAATTGGGTTCTGATATTCCTCTTGGGTTCGAGTGGGAGTCTTTGCTACTCTTCTATGAACACATTGTATTAAGAGCAAGGGAATTTTTGAATCCACTCTATGAGGTGGAAAAGAATTCTATGCAAAATCGGAAATATCTCACCGTTTTTGAAGGTATATTTTTTAACATATTTTTTGTATCACATGTCAATGAGTAAAAATAAATTTATTCTATAGGCAATCTTAAAATGAATTTTAGAAATTTGTCACCTTTACATATAAGATTATTTTGGAAATGCATCTCTATAAAATCACGTGTTATTGCTAAAAATAATAACTTGCATGATTACACCCCATATTTATTTTTCTTCTTCAGAAACCCTCTCCAAAAATCCTTCTATTCTCAATCAAAATTTTAACTCCAAAACTCCATTCTTGTGCTTCATCAAATCAAAAGGAGAAAAATAACTCGGAATTTAAGGTAAAGTTTATTCATTTGAAATTCCATTGCTCACATTAATCATGTTTTGATGCTGAAAAAAATTATGTTTATTTCGAAAATATATCTCCGAATTCTCTATGAACTCGTCTAGAGATGCATCTCCAAAAGCTACTAGTTCTAATTTTGCAGCAATCTATTTTCTATTTTAGATGTTTTTTAGTATTGCATGTTTTTATTTTTATTAGATATGGTGTATCATGATATTTTCTTCAAACCTATTGTGTCTTTGGATGCTTTACTTGTAGTTGCGAAGAAGGTAGATGTTGTCAACCATTTAAGAAATGAACAAGAGTTTGAATTTCGTGATCACATGCTTCAATGGATTCGTACAAAGACATCTGAACTGGGGTTTGGTGTTATAATCGGAAGGTCCGATAATGGTTTAGATAGAAGAGGTGCATTTGTGACATTGACATACGAATAAAGTGGAAAATATATACCTCATCTCCGAAATTTCAAACGAGAAGAAACCAGTTCAAGAAAATATGAATTTCCCTTTAAGTTGCGTGGTTATCAGTTGACAAATAACAAATGGAGATTTAATGTGATATGTGGTTTACATAGCCATGATTTGTGTGAAAAGTTAGCTGGTCATCCAATTGTATGTCGCCTCATGTTGGAAGAGAAGGAATGCGTTTCAGACATGACATTGAATTTAGTGCATCCGAAAAATATACTTGCAACTTTGAAGCATAAAAGACTTGGGATTATCACAAATATTAGGCAAGTGTGTATAAATTCTATCAAACTGAATTAGCGCTAACGAGGAATAGAACTGAAATACAACACCTCATGAAACTTCTAGATGATAACAATTATGAATCTAGGTATATAATGTGCGAGGATGGAGTAACCATTAGAGATATATTTTGGACTCATCCTGATTTCACAAAGTTGTTCAATATTTTCCTACTGTGCTCATAATTGATTCAACGTATAAGACCAACAAGTACAAGCTTCCATTGTTTGAAATTATTGGTGTTACCTCTAATGAGAAGACTTATTCTGTTGGATTTTCATTTCTAGAGTGCATAAAAGAGGAGACTTTTACTTGGGCTTTAGAGGTGTATCGGACAATGTTAAAGGATCAAGAAGAAATACCGAAAGTAATTGTTATCGACCGTGATACTGCTTTGATGAATTCGGTTGCAAAGGTATTTTCTACTTCGCATGCCTTATTTTGTAGGTATCACATAACAAAAAATATGAGAATTCGTATTAAACCCGCGACAGGGTCAAAGAAGATAGAGTGCGAAAATGAAAAATGGTTAAGGCGTGCGTCATAGTGGAAAAAATAACGGATGCATGGAATGTTATAATAAATTATTCTACAAAAGAGTTATATGATGATGCTGTTATACATTTCAAGAAAGTGTGAGAAATATTCAGATTTATTGAAATATGTTGAAAGTACAATTTTGTACCATGTTAAAGAGAAGATTATATGTGCTTAGACTGATTAGGTTAGACACCTTGGAAATACAACAACAAACCGAGTTGAGTCTTCCCATGCTACTTTGAATAATTAGTTGGGAACTAGTAAGGGTGATTTATGTACAGATTGAGATTCTGTGAACCAAATGATCCAAAACTAGCATAATGAGATACAGACATCATTTGGTCATAACATCATAGTGTTGAAATACAGGTTCAAAGACAACACTATGTATTCTTAGTTAGTCGATAATATATCTTGAACAACTCTGAATTTTATCTTTCACGAAGCCAGAAGAGCTAATAATGTAAGTTCCAATAGCTTAAAGTATGGTTGCACACTTGTGAAAACCTATGGACTCCCATGTGCTTGTGTTATATATAAGAAGGTGAAACTTAATATCTCGATATGAATAGATAGAGTTTACACTCATTGGAGTCAGCTCAGTTTTGATGATGATAAAGTTATGAAAAATGGTAAATCGAATATCTCTATATTTCCCGAATGAGAAGTGATATAAGAAAGATTTTTGAAAGCCGATGACAATATGAAACTCCACATCAAATATAAATTGAGGAAGATTGCATATCTGAATACTACAAAATTGAAACCACCCTCTTAACCGATAAAAACAAAAGGAGCATCTAAGAAACTCAAACCTACATCGAGTGACACATCAATAATGCGATCTCCTTTATATTTTCAATATGTTGACAAACTTTTTTTTTATTCATCAACTCCAAAATCTCATAAAAGTATTTTCAAAGGAGCTTGCATTATCAAACGACCTCCACCAAAAATTCCATTCATTGAGGAGATATCGGTTTTTATGCATAAATATATTGAATAAGTTGTGAATGTCAAAGGTGACAGTAGATGCAGTTTTCAAGCTATTTCTGCTTTGCTCTATAAAGCAAGAGATGATCACACACTTGTCTGTCATACTCTTATTCAAGATTTGATGGGCAATAAAGAGTCATACACACGACTATATGGGAATAAAGAAAATTAAAAAAACTACGAATCTCTTGTTCCTTGCATTAATAGACCTGCACTAAAGGATAAATGAACGAGCTTCTCTTAAATGAGTCATCTCATAGCAAATGTGTATGATAAAGTGTGTATTAATATTACAAGATACAATTTCTCTGAACTTTTTTCCACTGCGCACTGCTCCACCTCCAAATCCAAATGATCGTATTATTTGTGTTGGGTGGGTTTCAAATCTGCGGTATTTTGTTCAAGTTTATTTAAAATCAGGATGCCCTATACCACTTATATCCCCAGAGCGGACAACTCATTCTATAAGCAAAGATGAGACTTGACTGGACCAATTTGTTGAAAGGATGTAAAAGTTCACCATATTGTGCAAGATTAAAAGAGAAATAAATAAACAAAAGTCAAAAGGAGTACCACCAATAGTTATAGATTTTGTCGACGACAAGTATTTCGGTTCATTTTAGTATTTATTTATCAATTTATTATAAGTAACATTTCATTAGTGTATTATGATGTATAATATACACATTTGAAGTTTGTCAAAAACATTTGCATCGATTACATGTTTTGTTTTTGTTATGTCGGGGAAGGTTCTGGAAATACATCTCCGAAATAAGATAACAGGGTGGTACTAGATATGAATTTCCAAAATGTGCCTTGGTACAAGATAAAACTTCTGAGGTCAGTATTAGTCTACAACTACTATGTAAGTACGAAGTGCGCCTAAGAGAGGGGGGGGGGGGGGGGGGGGTGAATTAGGTACTTTTAAAAATTCTAGTTTTTAGTGATGATGGTTCTTATTTTTCTGGTTATAAGTGAGTTTAGGAAAGCTTAAAAATGCAGAAAAATAAAGAGACACGGGCGATATATCCTGGTTTCCCTCACAGTCCGAGAGTACTCCAGTCCCCTTTAAACATGAAAGAGATTTCCTTATTGTGGCAAACTTACACAAGAACTACTAACCAAACCAAGAACAATCCTCTTGGACCAAGAACAATCCTCTTGGATTTTCACTAAGTTACCTATGAGAACAATCCTCTCAATGTAACTACACTTGTATCCAGTAACTTGGAAAGACAAGATTTCAACAAAAACACTTAAACTTAATTTCAACAATCCTAGAAAATAAGTAAGTAAATATCAATTTGTGAGTTTGAGTGAGTAGAGTATATTGATCATTAAGAGTGATTTGACAATGTATAATCTTCTTCTTTCAATAATAATATTGTACAAAGACTCAAGATATATTTGCTCAAAGTTTTCTGTTTAAAGTATGAAAATCTGCAGAAAACTTATGCATGAAAATGAAGAATGCTTGAGTTTGTATTTTGAAAGTTCAGAAAATATTTTTGAAATAAGGTGTTAGATCTGGATTTGAAATTGAATATTTATATGTTCATAACACCCTTTTGAAATATCATGAAGATCTGGAAATGTATCATGAACAAATGCCAAGTTTGAGTGAAAAGATGTAATGAAAAGGCATGATCAAAA